AATTTCACTGGTATTCTGGCAAGTAAGATCAGTTTGTGTTAAAAGTCAATATATCTGCAAGGTGTCACCGTATATGCATAAAGTTTATAATTTAATTCTTCCTTATTTAATATGCGGTACAATCTTATAGAGAGTGGTGGACATGCCTCAATAAACAGTAAACATTGTACATTATTGTTGAAACACTGTTATAAGAAATTACACACAGACATAAGGCTCTCTAAAATGAGATGGCAGACAGCCTACATTGCTCAAACAATCATACCATTGCATGATTGCCTTAGCAATTTGCATTTGACAATATTGAGTGACGTTAATCATTAAATGATACAATAATTGTGATCTATAACTTAAGGAATTATCTGGGCATTAACACAATAGCATTTGATAAGTTTTGGCCTTATATTCATGTTGTGGTTTTCTTCCTGTTCAAATCTCTTAAAGGAACACTATAGCATTAGAAATACAAACCTGTATTCCTTCCACAATAGTGTCCTAGACCTTGATTAGTTTTAAGTACTTCCCGTGTGCTGTAAAAATCAGAAAAAAAGGGTTTTACTTATCTCAATTCCAGCTCAGAGACTGCCTCAGTACTGTCTTCAGCAACATCATCCAGATCTCTCTACAATGACCAATCCAATCCTCTTTACACAGGAGCATTGGAGACTGGAAGACAGCCTCTAGAGGTGTCTGGTGGGTTACTACAACCGCTATGTCCACTTCTGTTTTTAGAATTTTAAGTGGTCATGGTGGCAGTAGTCTGTACGTGCAGTATTTCTGCTTAAAACACGTCACATTCGCTTTTGCGCTGGGGCTAGTAACCCCTCTGCCCCTCCTTCCCTGGCACACATGATTTATGCAGCCCATAGCTCTCTTTCTCCCTCACTGAGCTCCCCGCCGCCCTTCTTTTTCAAGATTAAAAATAAATAAATAATAATAATAAAGGATATTAAGGGCTTTACTTTGAAGTGACATATACATATACTCTTTTGAGTACAACAATAGCCCTTATATTCACCTATGTAACTTACGGAGAAAGATAGTGGAAATACAAGATATTAATCAAAGACAGTTTATATAGAAAATGAGGTTTCTCTCTAATGTATGGGAAATAGAAGGAGATGGAAGAAAGAAAAGCTTAGCCCAATGTGGGAACCACAAAACAAAACTCCCTCACTTCTTTTTGTTAAAATATCCCCCCATAAAATCCATATAGTAAAACCTAAGTCTCCATGCGAGCCTTCACAACTAAAGGATAAATAAGCCATACAATAGTCATCCTCAAAGAAAAAATAGCCTTAACACTAAGGCCACCACATGAACCCAAGACTGAGATGACAATATCCCAGGTCCCTACTTGCACCAGCCATCCTCTGCTGCATCCCCCCTCTTGGCAATTGCCATTTTTTTACATTTATTATCTTTTCTCCCTTGTGCTGGATCTCAATATCAGGGTGCAGCCATTTTGTTCTCAATATCAGGGTGCAGCCATTTTGTTCTCCCCTGCCTAAGATGTCTGCCATTCTGCGGGATTGTGTTTACTGATGGATTCTGGGTAAATTATTTGATTGGCAACTGAAGCAGAACCTTGCTTTAAGCTCCACCCATTGTCAAGTTATGTCAGCTTGACTGCTATACATAAGGAAAAGTAGTAGAAGCAGAATAGATAAGTTTATTTTGGAGACAGATCTGCTTTAATAACTGCTAAAAGAAACCATAATAGCAGCTTTGCCAGGGACTATTAGCAGTTCACCATTATTAAATATCACATGAATATCCTGTGATTGTTTAGAAGTAGGAGAAGTTGTCGTGGTTATGATGTCTTGGTGGCTCTCTTTAAAGGAAGAGTAAGGGCACCCTAGCACATTCATCAAAATTAAGTTGTATGGTGCCAAGAGGTCCCTGGCACTTCCATACCTGTAGGAGTTAATTTGTTCATTAACAGTTTAATCCCAAAGTCTGCTCTTCTCTTGCCCTATGCTTTCATGTTCCTCCTCTGCCCTAGGCTCCCGTGCTCTCTCTGACCTAGGCTCCTGTGCTCTTTCTTTGCCCTAGTCTCCCGTGCTTTCTCTGCCCTAAGCTCCCGTGCTCCTCCTCTGCCCAGTGGTGTATTTTGGTTTTGTGCCCTAGGCATGACTAAACCTGGGCACCTCCTAATCTAAATTTGCCCCACCTCCTCCTGTCAAGGCTGCACCTCTTCCTGATTGAGACCCATCAGTTCCTCTGAAGTCTTTGCCTTTTCCTCTTAAAACTCCACCTAATCCTATTAATCATGCACACTCTCACTGACCCATACACGCACTTATTGGCACACACACTGTTTAACCAACACACACTTTCACTGACCAACACTCATTGACATGAACACACTCTCAGATACACATACACTTACTGACATAACACATCCACTGACAAACACACAGATGTCACTGACAGACAAAGACTCTCACTGATTTGACAGACACATATTCGCTGACACACACTCATTCATTGACAGACATATACACGCTTGCTGACACACTGACAGACACACACACACACTGACAAGCACACAAACACTGTCAGACACACACTGATAGTCAAGATTTCTCATTTCTGCTTAGTTTATAGTTCTGCACAGAAGAAACATCATTGATCCTTTCTATTCTTCCTGGGAGGCTGGGTGGATTTAAAATAAAATAAAAATAATTATAAGTGAGTGTTGGGAGAAATGTGTATGTGTGTGTAAGTGTGTGTGTGTGTGTATGTGTCTGTAAGTGTGTGTGTCTAAGTGAATGTGTGTGTCTGTAAGCAGTGGCGTACACGCACACTATGGGCCCCCCCCATTCCACCCAACAGACACACACATAGAGAGACACACACAGACACATACACACAGACACATACATACAGACCGATACACAGACAGGCATACAGACACATACATACAAACAGACAGGCACACATACAGACACACATACATACAAAGACACATACATAAAAAAAAACAGACTGGCACACATACACACAGGCAGACACATACAGCTAGACAGACACACACAGACAGACATACACACATACAAACAGACAGACAGACACACACACACACATACATACAAACAGACAAGCACACACACATACATACAGGCACAGACATACATACAGACAGACACACATACATACAAACACACAAAATGTTTAAGTCACCCTCCTGTTTCCTACCTTTAAGGTGCAGGAGGGTGACATTCCCTGAGGTCCAGTGGTGGCTCAGGTGGATGGGAGTCAGAGTTCCCACTCTGACTCCCTCTGCTTCCTCCCGCGTGGCTCTCAGTGTTAGTGCGGTCACTTCCTCCCAGCTTGTCATCACAGGGGGCCCGGTCGCGCTGTTAAAGCGCCCAGCGCTTACCGGGCCCCATGACAATCAATATCCATCGGGTGGCCCTGACAGCATGGGCCACCTGATGGACCCCTTGGACGGCGGCCCCGGCGGTTTGCCGTGTGGGCAGGGGCCGCAGAATATGATGGCGGCGGATACCCGGTCACAGGGGTCCGCAGGGCGGCCGGGCCCTGTGGAGTGGCGGGCCCGGTCGCAACTGCGACCCCTGCGACCGCGGTATGTATGCCGCTGTCTGTACAGACACACATTCACCTAAATTAATAATATTATTACAATTTTTCCAACCAGCCTCCCTACCTTAGAAAGAGCTAGTGTGGATTTGTCATTGGCGTCCAGTGGGGCTGCTGTGAGGCAGGCGGTTGTGTGCGCATCAGAGACAGCGAGGTAGCTGTGATCTTCCTGCTCAGCTTTGTTGTGTCCCTCAGACTGTCTACTGATGCTTTGAGACGGAATTACGTCATATTCCGGCTCCTGGCATCAGCAAACGTTGCGGGAAGGAACAGAGCAGGAAAGTCACAGCTCCTTTGCCATCTCTTATGCAAACACAACCGCCAGCCGGGGGGCCATAAGTTGACCAGCTGGCCCGCTCTTTAGCCCCACTATGACAGGAGAGATCACAGCGGGGAACACTGGGGACAGCTGAGCTGACATTTGGAGGTGGCATTTTTTGCCGCCCAAGGCAAGTGCCTTGTTTGCCTTGGGCTACATACAGCACTGCCTCTGCCCCAGGCTCCCCTACTCCTTCTCAGCCCCAGACTCTCCCTGAGGCTGACTGGTAGGCTTCTGTGGCTGGCTGGCAGGCTGCTGTGGCTGGCTGGCTGGCTGGACTTCTGTGGCTGGTTGATAGGCTGCTGAGGCTGGGATAACAGCGCTGGGCCCACAGACTGTGGTTGCCCCGATTCGCAGTGGACTCAGGCAGTCGGCGGAACGTGGCATGTCCAAAATGCCCCTAATTACTTCATTATTATTATTTTTTTCACATAACCCTGAGGGAACTGATTCATACCCCTGGAGGTATGCATACCACAGTTGGTAACCGCTGCTTTAGAACAATTTCTGAAAGCTCATGTGGACAAGGACAGAGAGAAACAGCACTAAAGAGCAGACTTTTGGATTAAACCATTTGCAAACGGATTTACCCTTATAGTTAAGGAACCTACAGTGACCTTTAGACACCATAACAACGTCACTTTATGGAAACTTAGGAGCCTGGACCCCAGATGGCTGCGCACACTGGGTAAATAAGTAAGGTTATACTCATCTCTACTGCATAATTAATTGCAGTAAATACTGTATCTTTACTCAGGGCAACATGACTATTAGTTCTAAGGCACCAACATATCAGTCAGTTTCTCTTTATTATCCGATTAGAAAATAGAAGATAAATTACAGAGATCCAGATGACGTTTCTCATAGATAATTCGATTTCTGCTTTCAAGCCTGACACACTACTAACTGCAAACTACTATTCTCCTTTCTAAGATTCCCACGTCATTATTCAGTGACATTGTAATTCATTCCACTTCAATATGAAAACAGGTTCTCTTTATCTAAAGGAAGTACTTTATTTTTACTTGTTACAATGTTTCCTAGTACAATACAGAAGCCAATCAGAATGTTCCATGTTTCAGCCAATAAGGAAGGGCTTACCATGTGGGTTCTGGAACACAGCTTGTCATTGCTTGTATAGTGATGGAAAGGAGTCAGAGGGAGGTAGAACAGGGAGCTGTAGGCAGTCATTATCCCTGCTGTAGATTGGACTAATTCACATGTGATGCACTCCCTCGGAGACGAAATCAAAGGGTTCTCTAAGAATAAACTCAGGAAGCAATGTACCAGAGTCACAACCTTATCTGGGAGAAGGATTATAGAGACATGGAAGGACTCTGTGGTACATGCTGTGGATGACCCAGACCAGAAAGATGGGCCAGGATGTGGCTATGTGCAGGACATGAGTCTGGACCTGCAGGTTGGGGTTATAAAGCAATGGCTGCTGCTTGGTAAGTGCATCCCCATTTGTCTTTTTTGTCCAGAAATGTTAAATTTACTTCGCATTTTCCACAATTTGCTCTGTACTTAATAACCCTGATAATATTGATGAGTTTATAATCAGTATATTTGTTATTTTATTGCATACAGAGATATTTAATTTAAAATGCCGACACCTGTGTTTTAACCTGTTTTTCTATTTTTAGTATTTTCAGTGTTTTTAACTGAAGCTATTTAAATTTTTCTATACTTTGTTCCAGCATGATTTCACAGGTGGTTTTTTTTTTTTTTTTTTTATAACAGCCCCTATATGTATTTCACATTTAAGGTCAAAATAGCCAAATTGGAAAAATTCTCTAAGTCAGCTATGCTTTGAGTTTAGCTACTCTGGCTTCAGATTTGAAATACACTTTGAATTTTTATTTTAGCAAATAAACCTGTTTATGTATTTTAAAGACTATACTTTAAACAGTGGTATTTACTAAAGGTGAGATTTGACAGACATCCAATGTGGTTTTAAAATTTAAGAGGATAGTAACCAAACTGGTAGCATAGTTAAATATTCAATTTCTATTTTAACCTTAATTTAGACAATTCTCTCCAGTATGTTACCGCATCAGTGCTTTCTTTTGATGCCCTGTATGAACATTTGACACAAATTGAATTCAAATACAATATTGCAGGGTTACTCCAACCACCACGACCACTTCAGTGGTCATGGTGCCTGAAGTCTGTATATGCAGCATTTCACATTAACCCTGCCAGAGGTGTTACTCCATCTAATTAAAGGACCACTATAGTGCCAGGAAAACATACTCGTTTTCCTGGCACTATAGTGCCCTGAGGGTGCCCCCACGCTCAGGGTCCCCCTCCCGCCCGGCTCTGGAAGGGGGAAAAGGGTTAAAACTTACCTTTTTCCAGCGCTGGGCGGGGAGCTCTCCTCCTCCGATCCTCCTCCTGGGCTGAATGCGCACGCGCGGCAAGAGCTGCCCGTCGCATAGGAAAGCATTTACAATGCTTTCCTATGGACGCTGGCGTGCTCTCACTGTGAAAATCACAGTGAGAAGCACGCAAGCGCCTCTAGTGGCTGTCAATAAGACAGCCACTAGAGGATTAGGGGGAAGGCTTAACCCATTCATAAACATAGCAGTTTCTCTGAAACTGCTATGTTTATGAAAATATAGCAGTTTCTCTGAAACTGCTATGTTTATGAAAATATGGGTTAACCCTAGCTGGACCTGGCACCCAGACCACTTCATTAAGCTGAAGTGGTCTGGGTGCCTAGAGTGGTCCTTTAATTGGCTAATTTCAATGCTGTGCAATTTCTACGATTCTGCAGACGCCAGATGCACGTCGCCTTGGATATTTGGATACAGACGGAGACTCTGATAAGGGGCAAACCGCTGCTAAATGGTTTGCCACATTACCGGGAATCAGACAGGGATAGTCCCTGAATTTTGTAATGTCTTATTGTTATAAATCAAATAGTAGAAGGAGTGAATTACTGTTTGTTGGCAATATACCAAATAAGGATCGATCACCATGGAAAAGTATAGAATGTCTGTGAATATCTAGCACTTTACATCCAATATAGCAGCTGTTTTGCCTAGTTAAATCTCCACATAAAATTTGTCTAAGTTCATTCAACTTGTAGTCCAAGCATACGAAATTAATAGGATAATTATCTAAAGTGAGAATTGCTGGGAATTCAAAGTGACTCAAATTTAAGGCCAAAATACCTAAACTAAAAACAGAATTGACTTTGAGAACTATACTAATTCAGCAATTGTGGCTTAAATTTTTAAATTCACTTTAAATTTCTCACTTTTAGGTAATAATCCTATTCAATTGTTATGCTTGGACTGCAAGTTTAATAGCGGTCACAAAATCACTAGACAAAAATACATGTTTATTGAAAGTAGAGCTCCTTAGGGCATTTATCTTCGGGAACAATTTTTATCACAAGTGGCTGTCAAAACCTATACTTAATTTGTTTTATTTTCATACACATACAATTGAAATTTCTCTTCATATATTGTAATTATGATGCAAGCTGCTGCAGGAAAAACATTAGGTTCAATTAAAGAATAGTAAACCCAAATGAAAGCTTTATTACGTGTGTGTGTGTGTGTGTATATATATATATATATATATATATATATATATATATATATATATATATATATATATATATATATATATATATATATATATATATATATATATATTGCGCAAGATATACTTTTTCACACCGATGTTGTTTTGTCATGAATTTCACACAATTGGTGTGTCCAGTGGTCTATTTTGGTTCTGTACTGCCCTAGGCATGACTAAACGTGGGCACCCCCTGAATTACATGTATCCAACCCCTTGCTGTCAAGGTTTTTCCTGTTTAAGTCCCACCCTTTCCTCATTTGCATCCACCTTTTCCTCTTAGAACTCCACCTTCGTATCTCATCCATATTCCACACTCTCACTGATCCATACTTGCACTCATTGGCACACAGACTGTGAAAGTAACACACACTTTCACTGACAGAACATGTCCACACTGATACACATTCACTGACAGACACACAGTCATTGTCTCACTGACCCATACACGCAGGTTTTAACCAACACACACTTTCACTGAAAGACATCCACTAACACACTGAATCACTGACAGAAACACACTCTCAGATACATATACACTCAGTGATTTGACACACGAACACACACATTCACTGACAGACAAAAAAATTAACACACTCACTCAATAACAAGACTAACACTGATTTGGCACACATTAACAGACACAGACTCTCACTGATTTTACACTCCCTAACATGACAGTCGCTGACAGACACAGACTATCACTGATTTGAACTACATACATATTCTTGTTCAACACACTGTTCTCCCATTTAAACTCCAATAGGAGTGCAGCACTTTCCATGCATGCTCTTTTCATCACTAATTTTCATTTTAGAGGAGAATTAGATTAGACGTTTAGAAGCATGACGTTGTTTGAGGCAGATTGAGCGGCTGCAGGGACTCTCGGAACTGGGGGGAAATGGGAGTAATTTAAAGGGACACTATAATCACCTGAACAACTTCAGCTTAAAGGACCACTATAGGCACCCAGACCACTTCAGCTTAATGAAGTGGTCTGGGTGCCAGGTCCAGCTAGGTTTAACCCTTTTTACAGTAAACCTAGCAGTTTCAGAGAAACTGCTATGTTTACATTAGGGTTAATCCAGCCTCTAGTGGCTCTCATTGACAGCCGCTAGAGGCGCTTCTCACTGTGAGTTTTCACAGTGAGAAGACGCTAGCGTCCATAGGAAAGCATTGAGAATGCTTTCCTATGGACTGACTGTATGCGTCCATTCAGTTGATGACGGAAGAAGAGGGAGGAGAGTCCCAACACTGGGAAAAAAGGTTAGGGATTAACCCTTTCCTCACCCTTCAGCGCCACGGGAGTGGGACCCTGAGGGTGGGGGGACCCTCAGGGCACTATAGTGCCAGGAAAACGAGTATGTTTTCTTGGCACTATAGTGGTCCTTTAATCCCTTAAGGACCAAACTTCTGGAATAAAAGGGAATCATGACATGTCACACATGTCATGTGTCCTTAAGGTGTTAATGAGGTTGTTCAGGTGAGAACTATAGCTCCCTGCAGCCTTTCTCATGTAAACACTGTACAGGGAGTGCAGAATTATTAGGCAAGTTGTATTTTTGAGGATTAATTTTATTATTGAACAACAACCATGTTCTCAATGAACCCAAAAAACTCATTAATATCAAAGCTGAATATTTTTGGAAGTAGTTTTTAGTTTGTTTTTAGTTATAGCTATGTTAGGGGGATATCTGTGTGTGCAGGTGACTATTACTGTGCATAATTATTAGGCAACTTAACAAAAAACAAATATATACCCATTTCAATTATTTATTATTACCAGTGAAACCAATATAACATCTCAACATTCACAAATATACATTTCTGACATTCAAAAACAAAACAAAAACAAATCAGTGACCAATATAGTCACCTTTCTTTGCAAGGACACTCAAAAGCCTGCCATCCATGGATTCTGTCAGTGTTTTGATCTGTTCACCATCAACATTGCGTGCAGCAGCAACCACAGCCTCCCAGACACTGTTCAGAGAGGTGTACTGTTTTCCCTCCTTGTAAATCTCACATTTGATGATGGACCACAGGTTCTCAATGGGGTTCAGATCAGGTGAACAAGGAGGCCATGTCATTAGATTTTCTTCTTTTATACCCTTTCTTGCCAGCCACGCTGTGGAGTACTTGGACGCGTGTGATGGAGCATTGTCCTGCATGAAAATCATGTTTTTCTTGAAGGATGCAGACTTCTTCCTGTACCACTGCTTGAAGAAGGTGTCTTCCAGGAACTGGCAGTAGGACTGGGAGTTGAGCTTGACTCCATCCTCAACCCGAAAAGGCCCCACAAGCTCATCTTTGATGATACCAGCCCAAACCAGTACTCCACCTCCACCTTGCTGGCGTCTGAGTCGGACTGGAGCTCTCTGCCCTTTACCAATCCAGCCACGGGCCCATCCATCTGGCCCATCAAGACTCACTCTCATTTCATCAGTCCATAAAACCTTAGAAAAATCAGTCTTGAGATATTTCTTGGCCCAGTCTTGACGTTTCAGCTTGTGTGTCTTGTTCAGTGGTGGTCGTCTTTCAGCCTTTCTTACCTTGGCCATGTCTCTGAGTATTGCACACCTTGTGCTTTTGGGCACTCCAGTGATGTTGCAGCTCTGAAATATGGCCAAACTGGTGGCAAGTGGCATCGTGGCAGCTGCACGCTTGACTTTTCTCAGTTCATGGGCAGTTATTTTGCGCCTTGGTTTTTCCACACGCTTCTTGCGACCCTGTTGACTATTTTGAATGAAACGCTTGATTGTTCGATGATCACGCTTCAGAAGCTTTGCAATTTTAAGAGTGCTGCATCCCTCTGCAAGATATCTCACTATTTTTGACTTTTCTGAGCCTGTCAAGTCCTTCTTTTGACCCATTTTGCCAAAGGAAAGGAAGTTGCCTAATAATTATGCACACCTGATATAGGGTGTTGATGTCATTAGACCACACCCCTTCTCATTACAGAGATGCACATCACCTAATATGCTTAATTGGTAGTAGGCTTTCGAGCCTATACAGCTTGGAGTAAGACAACATGCATAAAGAGGATGATGTGGTCAAAATACTCATTTGCCTAATAATTCTGCACTCCCTGTATTTTCTGAGAAAACACAGTGTTTACATTGAAAGCTATGAACACCTCCAGTTGCAGTCACTCAGAGTGAACCAGAGGGACTTCTGAGTTGATGGAGGCATAATATGCCTCCATCCACTCAGATCTGCTGACAGCAGAGCACAGGGCAGCACTGTGCACAGCATCCTGTGATTCAGTATCTCCTCCCTCTGCATGCAGACACTGAACTTTCCTCATAGAGATTCATTGATTCAATTCATCTCTATGAGGAGATGCTGATTGGCCAGGGCTGTGTTTGAATCATGCTGGCTCTGCCCCTGATCTGCTTCCTTGTCAGTCTCAGCCAATCCTATGGGGAAGCACTATGATTGGATCAAGCTACCACATGTCAGCAGACTGCTTGTTTTTCTGAGTCTAACAGCATGCAGATTTACAGCTTCAGGCTTGAATACAGTAAGATTTTTACTATATTTATGGAGGCATGAGGGGCCTAGTGGGGCTAGATGGTGATGTTAACGCAATAGGGTCAGGAATACATGTTTGTGTTCTTGACCCTATAGTGATTTTTTAAGTAAGGAGGAGAACACTAAAAAAAGAGGTTGCAAGAGGGTACGGAGAACAGACAACAGCTTGCACTTCAGTGAATGGTCAGTTCTTAACCTGGTTTTAGCTCTTCTCGTGCCATTACAGAGAGAATCCAAACCATTTGCACATCTGACTGCTTCCACCCAAAAGGGCCGTCCAGATCAGAAATGCAGTCCGGCTTCCTTTGTATGCGAGATACCCCAAACAATCGTTTCAGCCTTGTTAGGCTTTACTGTGTTGATTCCCTTTATATATTTAAATGTTTCTATCATATCCCCCCGTCTTGTATTTCCTCCAAGCTATACATGTTAAGTTCCTTTAACCTTTCCTTGTACGTTTTATCCTGCAATCCATGAACCAGTTTAGTAGTCCTTCTCTGAACTCTCTCTAAAGTATCAATATCCTTCTGGAGATACGGTCTCCAGTACTGCGTACAATACTCCAAGTGAGGTCTCACCAGTGTTCTGTACAATGGCATGAGCACTTCCCTCTTTCTACTGCTAATACCTCTCCCTATACAACCAAGCATTCTGCTAGCATTTCCTGCTGCTCTATTACACGGTCTGCCTACCTTTAAGTCATCTGAAATAATTATCCCTAAATCCCTTTCCTCAGATGTTGAGGTTAGGACTGTATCAAATATATTTTACCCTGCCTAGAAGAAAGGGTGAGTGTAGTGAGGGTTGTGAAAGTCTAGTCATTCAATGCTAGCTATCTAAGCTTAGTGATGAGTGACATAAAAAATGTACGATAGTTAGAGAGTCAGAGTAATTAATTGAGTAGCAGTTGCAGATATTGATTCTATTGTTTTGGCCCCTGTGTGGATTTTAGTGCTAGTTCAGGCACATTAGTAACATTCATTGAACCATAGTTTGGGACATAGAACATAGATATGTTCCCCTGATGAGATTAGATGCAGATTCATAAATTGTTCAATGAAAAAATCTATAGTTATCTCTTTATTTAACCAATGTATTATGTAATTTAGATTCAGTGATTTCATTATATTTTTTTGAAACCGGGTCCTTGTTCTAAAGATATCTTCCTCTGATGGAGTGGTCAGTACAGTACTTTTGTATTTTTGCAGTGCATATGATCATAACATACTGTCTGCTTTAGTTTTCTTTAAAACATAAGACAAAGTATGGACTACTTTGTCTTATGGAGGTTTCCTACGCCTGACCATCTCTGACCAGAGGAGGAACAAAGTGTGCTCTGTTTCCTGTGGTCATGACATTTTCTCACAATTCTTAACTTTCCTCCGTGATCTCGCGATGCCTTCTGTCAGTATTCCCGACCATCCTGTCATTTAGACAGAACGCTGGCGAAACTACTGAATTTCGTTCTAACAGAATAAGAACAGTTTCTCCATTCGTGTCAGGAAGCAATTCGGAACTTTGTTCGGATCGGAATTTCATTTGAATGAATGAAACTCTAATCCTATTTGTGCCGCGGCTGCATCTTGCAGCCCCTTAGTAGATAACTCACTAATTCCCATGGTATCAGGGAGCTATATACCAAAAGGCTGAAAAACCTAAATTGGTCTTTCAGCCCAATGTACTAATACCAAGTAAAGATTACAGTAAATTCTGCCCTACTCGCTATGCTGCAAGTAGGGGCATGTCTACTAAACAGTGAGCAGCCAAACCCTAGTATTCCCCCTCCCCAGCCCCCACCCATGCTGCACGAGTGGGGGCTATTAAACTGAAGGGGGGGGGACCTATTGTCCTCCCCCCGGCTCCCACCCGTGAGCGGCTGTTAGGGGCCCTAAATTACAATGGGGGGAACCTATTGTCCTCCCCCCGGCCCCCACCCCTGAGCGGCAGACGGGGGCCCAAACGAAAATGGGGGGAGACCTATTGTCCTCCCCGCCCCCACCCATGAGCGGTGGGTGGTGGCCCAAACGAAAATGGGGGGGGACCTATTGTCCTTCCCCCTGCCCCAAATAAAATTCAATCCCTACCTACCCCCTCACCCTAAAAATGAGGGGGAGACAATAAAAGTACCTGGGGGATGGGGAGAATTAGACTTGCCATTAGTGTTAGTGTTCTTTTTTTTTTTTCTAAAGCCTTCATTCTTCAGCCCCAAAAAAGGCCAAATAAAAAACCATAATATTAATTTAAAAAAAAAAAAAAAGCCTGACGCTAAAAATTAATCCATCTTCACCCAGCAAAGGCACAGTGCAGACTGAGCTATACAGGGCAGGGAAAGGCTTATAAAGTCTTCCCATGCCCTGCAATTTGACTCAGAGCACTCTGGCTGGTTGGCTTGGAATCCAACCAATCAGAGTGCTAGTCATGTTACACAGCGAGGGAAAGTTCTTCCACAGAACTTTCCACAGAGAGTGTTCTGTATTAAAAGTATTGTGCTCTAAAGCACTAATAGTGAGGCAGTGTCTAGTGAAATTGCAGGAATTTTTCCAGGGGGGGCATAATTGTAATGACATCCATGCTTGGCCCCTTTTTGACAGTGCCATGAAGGGGAGGAGCATAGTCATTATCACATAAAGCCAGGGTGAATAGCGTTTTCACACCTATGGTGTCAGGAATACATGTTTGTATTCCTGGCACTATAGTGTTCCTTTAAGCAAATTAAAGGAACATTCTGGTCACCATAACAAGTTAATCTAAATGAAATTGCTATGATGCCAGGAAGCCCCTGGGTGCTCTCTTTCCTTTAAGGTGTTAAACCGCTCTCAAATAGTTTAACCCCAAAGGCTTCCTCCAGCTCCAGGTCGCTCAGTGGTATTCGGCATCTGAAACGGAGTGTCAGGAAGTGCAGATTGACGTCAGGCAAGAGTGGACAGTTGACGCTCTAAGCCAATCGCTAGTTCCCAGCTCATAAAAATGTTTTACTTTTTTATGAATGGGTGGCAACTGATTGGCTTAGAGTGCCAGCTGACCGCTCTAGCCAATCAGCAGCACCCCTACCCAGTGGCACTCTGTGCTTCCTGACACTCAGTAAATAAAAGTGAACACATTAACACTGATATTTTTTTTTACCTGGGGAGATGAGAAGGTCCAGAGTTTCCCTGCCAGGCCCAGGTACCAAAGCCTTATGATGTGGTGTCCAGAATAAAGTGGAGGGTTCACTTCATTTGTCCTTCCTGCTCCAATCTCCTTTTCTTCTCCTTCATTTGACAGTCTTCTTTTTCTTCTGACACTGTCTTCTATCCTTGGCTCCTTCTGCTCCTTTACCTTTCTGCTGCTTTCTGCTTATTTTGCGCCCTTCTGCTCCTTTCTCATTCTGATCCCTTTCTGCTTTGCGCCCTTCTGCTCCTTTACCTTTCTGCTTATTTTGCGCCCTTCTGCTCCTTTCTCATACTGATTCTCCCATGCCTCACTCGCCTAATCTATAGGCTGCCCCCCCATGCCTCACTCCCCTAATCTGTAGGCTGTCTCTGTTGCCTGCATGTACTGCTCCCCTGCGGTTTCAATCAGCAGGGATAGATGCAACTTCCTATCCCTGTCTCTCCTTACACAGCGCCACCTACTGGCCGGCGCCGGTATTGCAGTTCATTTTAAATCACTCGAAAAATAGCAGAAACTGAAAAATCCAGTGGACTCCCATGGGCACATTGCATTGTTGTTGTTTCCTCTCCCCATTTACATCTTTACACCACTTTTCAGAAAATACACTTTTTTAAAAAAAAAAAAATTTTTTTTTTTTTTTTTTTTTTATTCTTTTTTTTTTTGGTCGACAGGAAATTATACATACATGACAGGCAAGGATACAGCCACAACGCAGATTTACACTGGGTACCACAGTGCTCCTAGTGGTTTCTGTTGATATGTGCAATACTCAGTAAACCATGAAACAATCAAGATTGGTTCGGAAAATGTAAGAGATTTGTAACAAAAAACAATCTACAGGTTAGATTTCCCGATTTCCCCTCTTCCTCCCCCCCCCATTTTTATAACACTTTATCTCCATAATGTATACCTCACAGCATTCCACGTTACAAGTAAAAGGGTGCACATAGGATATTGGGTTTCAAAATGTTTCTGTAGAGCATGACGTAGCCAATGGAAAAACTTGTTTAGCAGATATAGCAGATTTAGCCATTTAGGCAGCATTTATGGAAAATTAGGCCTTGTTAAGCAATGGTTCTTCCAAATCCAGGAGCGTGAGTATTTACTTTTATAAAAGCTAAAAGACAGTTTAGATTTTTTTTTTTTTTTTTTGTGTTAATTAAGTAAGTACATGCAAAGTAAATATGTTTCTAATGAAAAAACATTTTACAATTACAGGATCCCAAGATGTTGCACAAGATTTGGATGTAATGAAAAAATACAAGGTAAATTGAGACCCTAAATGGTATATATTATATATTATTTTGTATCCCCAGAGACGGAGTATGTGAATAAAGTGGTGTGGGAGTGTTGCACGTTGTTCATGTATTCTGCTTTTGCATTGGCCATAATGTTATTTGAAGGAAAGGACAAAGGGGATTCCCATGTGTCTGCTTTAAAGGAGCACTCTAATGTTACACGTAAAAACCTGTATTTCTAACATTAGCGTTTACTTCAGTCTGTTTAGATGTTCAGGCTACCCCCTTTGAAACTTAAATAGTTTACTCACCTTTATGCTCATGCCACACCAGTATCGCCACAGCGGCTGCTTCCCCTCTAGGGATGCATGGGGGGGAGGGGGGAGTGGTTCTATTGCACATGCACGGCATTCATCATCCGCTCCTAGATATGCATTAGTTCAGTGCATCTCTATGGGGAGGGTTTGGTGTCCTTATGCAAAGCGTGAAAACAGGGAACGTTACTCAGCCACTAGAAACAGGGTCACAATCAGGGGGTGACAACCATGACCTTGGTGGCCCAGCTGCCCAGGCCACAGATACCTGATTTGTAGCAGTGGAACTGCTGAACCGAGGCCCACATGCTGATGATGCCAATCTGATGGCCCATGCACTTAGGGACACCCGATGGGCATGTGTTTTTCAGGGGCCTGCTCAGTGCTGAGGCCCTTTAAACATTCTATTTTTCTTTTGTAGGATGACATAGCACACCCTAGCGTCGGGAAGCAGTAATGTTGTAGTGGTTCTGGTGTATATAGTCCTTTAATTACCGACTTATATAATTACTGTGATGCAGTTCCTGTACTCCAACTAGGGATCTTTCCCCAATCACTAGAAATACCATCCTACTGCCTGCCACCAGATGTGACTGAGCTCCTGTACTCCGACAGCCCAATCAGCTTCCCAGCTTTTGGTGAGGGAGACCAAACTCTTCAGCCACAGTCACCGAAGCTTGGCTGGGGTATCTCCAGAACTCATTCACCCGACCAGACTGCAGCTCTCTTCTTCCATGCAGGTATCGTCCCCTCTGCCAAATTATCTGCAGCTTTCCTTCCCAAGAAGGTATCAACAGCTCTGCTTATAGTGATTGTCCCTGTCTTAACAAAGACACTTGTGGCTCTCAGACCTAGCTCTCTTGTCAACTTGTCCCCGTGCTGGAGGAATCATGCAGCCAGCCAACACAGTCCCCAAAGACTCTGTTACTGGGATCCCTAAAAATCTATACATGACACACAGTTCCTGCTGTAGCATACCTCACGCAGGGGCTCCTGGGTCCTGGCCCATAGTCTGTGGTTAAGAGGCTGGCTTTCGAGCCTCTCCAAAAGGCCCTGGCATGGAAGCTTCTGTCACACTCATCATCTCCACTGCTTCTTTAATGACATTACTTTTACCAGTTTTAATTTTTTTATATTTTCCAAGATTTAAATTGAGCTGGGTTTCTTTTTTTATTTTACTTCATTTACTATTTTACTACTTTTAGTTGTGTTGTAGTTTACATTTTTTTTTTCTGTTCTGTTTAATTGGGCTCCATTAAATGCATTCAGGAGGAGTTTATGGTGTATTGAGTTAAAGGGGGGGCTATAACTTCCCAGAATTGGAAAATCTAAATATGCAGAAATTGACACTTCTGTCTTGGAGCTCCATCTTGGGCACTACCTTCCGATCTTTTTTTACATATGGTGTCCTTTTCTGACACAGATCTGTACACCAAAACTGCATCATTAAGCTAAATTGTTTTTTGTTGCCTACAGTATCCCTTTATGACATTTATAGGAAGGCACTTTTCAAGAAATGCCACCACATTGTAAAAATAATGTTTGTATGTGACCATTGTGCCAACTCACAATAAGTAAGTACAGTTGCACCAACATTGCATTATGGGTGTACTCACTGTACTCGGAGGCCTCCTTGATTTGCTGCTTATACTGCGTGTGATGCAGCCTGGCGTTATGTTCAGGAATTATACTAGACAATACTTTGCAATCAGAGTTTGTACAACTCAGAAACCATTAGCAAAACACTTTTTTTAATACAGCTAGTTCTGTACTTTCTATTGTGACGTTTGTAAAGATTAGCTTTGCTGTGTAAAGGTGCTGTGCCTTCTGTTGTAGCAGTAGGAGATTTTTAAAGGACCACTATAGTGCCAGGAAAACAAATGTTTTCCTGGCACTATAGTGCCCTGAGGGTGCCCCCACCCTCAGGGTCCCCATCCCGCCGGGCTGAAGGGGGAGGAAAGGGTTAAAATCTTACCTTTCTCCAGCGCCGGGCTTGGACTCTCCTCCTCCTTCGGTCGTCCTCGGCTGAACGCGCATGCGCGGCAAGAGCCGCGCGCGCATTTATTCAGTCCATAGGAAAACATTCTCAATGCTTTCCTATAGACGCTGGCATCTTCTCACTATGAAAATCACAGTGAGAAGCGCGGAAGCGCATCTAGCGGCTGTCAATGAGACATCCACTAGAGGCTGGATTAACCCTAAAGTAAACATAGCAGTTTCTCTGAAACTGCTATGTTTACAGCAGGCAGGGTTAACCCTAGATGGACCTGGCACCCAGACCACTTCATTAAGCTGAAGTGGTCTGGGTGCCTATAGTGGTCCTTTAAGTTAAAATCACTTGTTACTGTGACATCAAAGGAGTTCAGTATATGACTTTCTTGAAGCTATTTCCTTGAAAAGTGATAACATGGTTCTGTGTAGTAGTAGTTTGCATTCCAATGCAGTTATTCTTTGCATGTTTTTTGTTCCAGTCTCATTACGGATGGTATATTTCTCTCTTTTTGTTGTTTATCTCAATTTTTTTTTTTTCATTTTCTTTTTTATTCACTGTTTTGTACCGTTTACATGCCTGAAAATGTTACCAGGGACACTTATTTTTTTTATTTTAATTCTTAATAAATCCCGTGTCCAATTAAAGGTTTATGATACATTGCCTCAGCAGCATCCCTTGTTCCTCGGATGTTGGACCTCTAGGTTCACACAGCCATTTGACCTTTATTGATGAAAGAGGAACACTGGGACCTCAGAAGAGGAGAAATTGTGACACACAGAATATTCTGGGCTCAATGCTTGTGGAATGTAGAAGAATAATCAGACCGTTCCTGATCAGAATTCTGGTATCAATGAGACAAAATCTACAGCAACAGACCATGTCACAATAATAACATACAGGCAGACTACGTGGAGGTACACTTCTCAAGTTTGCTAGATTTAGTTGTGTATTTCCCATTGTAATGGATATTGATACATATCGCCTGAAGGTGGACAACACAGACCCTGGACATAAGTTACGATGGACCTCTTGAAAACTAAATTGGAAAGAAACCAATGGCAGAGAGATGAACCAAAAAAGCCTACAGTCACCAGGATTATAGAGTATAAATCCCATCCATGAAGACGTTGCCTTCTCTGATGGCCATATGTAGGTGTAGCCTTTTCAATGTAAACACTACCTTTTCAGAGAAAAGACAATGTTTACATTGCTGTCTAGTAACACCTGTCTGACACACACACACACACACTGACAGACATAAACACACTGACAAAGAGAGACACACACACACACACACACTGACATTTTCCATTTTAATTATAATCCACCCAGCCTCCCTACCTTTTGGGGCTGCTCGCTCATCCTGCATGCGAGGGAGCATTGATCTACCTGCAGTTCCTCTTTGCTCACTCTAGTGATGCCTGGGCCGGAATGCCGTCATTCCGGCTCCCAGCATTGCTAAACAGCGCGCGAGGGAGCATAGAGGAGCATCAGGAAGATTACTGCTCCCTCGCACCCTGCCCCTGCCGCCTCCAAGCAGCCCAGGACTGCTGCCTCCATTCTCTCCCGGGCCGGAAGTCCAGCTCCATTGTTCCCTAATCCTACCTTTAGCTAAGGGGCTTCAAATCCCAGACACCAGGGCAAAATTTCTAGTCGCAATGGCAACCTGGCGCCCGGGATTTGCCGAGCCCCGTAAGTGGTTTCTGCCTCTTAGATCAATGGTTCTTAAACCTGGAGTTTGTACCAAAATTCAGATCCTCAATTGTTGGAAAAGGTACATCAAATTTATAAGGACCAGGTTATTGACTATAGTAAACTGTTGGTTATAGGAGCACTGACTGAAGGGCTCAATATGTAGATTTAATGAACGGTAGTGGCACCTGTCGTGAACAGACTGTTGGTTTGCCTTAGATAATGGCACTTTAGGATAACACAAAATTACTGCAAAGCACTCATTGTCCAATTTAAATTTATTTCAGTATGTAAGTTTTTAATTTTTTTTCTTGGCTTGATATAACGTGTTTTCTGATTCCTTTTGTAGGTCACACACATCTTGAATGTCGCTTATGGTGTAGAAAATGTTTTTCCTGAAGAATTTACTTATAAGAAAATCTCCATGCTGGATCTTCCAGAGACTGACCTTGAATCTTATTTCCCGGAATGCTTTGACTTTCTAGAGCAAGCAAAAAAGCAGGTATCATTTAAAAAAACATATTTTAAAGCAAGTCTATCTGGCATTGCCAAGCAGCGTATCAGAACAGCTACAGTTGTTGTACTCAAAAGTTTGCATACTCTGGGATAAATTGTGAAATCTTGGCATTGATTTTGAAAATAGGACTGATCGTGCAATAAAATGTATTTTATTGAACGATAGTGATCATATGAAGCCACATAGTTGTTTGGCTCCTTTTTTAATTCATAATGATAACAGAAATCACCCAAATGGCCGTGATCAAAAGTTTACATACCCTTGAATGTTTGGCCTTGTTACAGACACACAAGGTGACACACACAGGTTAAAAATGGCAAGTAGGGGGGCACAGCCAGCACCAGAGCAGGATAGTCGCACAGCACAGGAAGGATAATGCTACGTTCACCAACAGGGTGGCAGCAGTAGAGGAGAGCACGAAAGGTACAACACTGGCGCAAAATGCCACAGATGCCGCACTGAATGCCCTGGGCAAGCAGTGTGCCGACCAGCAAGTACAACTGGCGGACATGGAAGTCAGGCACAAGGCACGGAACCTGAGGGTCAGGGGAGTACCGGAGAAAATCCCTGGCACTGAACTGACACATTTCTGCTGACGGCCCATAGCCACGCTGCTGACACCACGGCAAGCGAAGCAAGTAATAATTGATTCCTGCTTCAGCCTCTCTAGGGCGACCTCTATGCCACGAGAAGGAGCTAGTGACGTCCTGATAAAATTCGTGGGAGACTCTGACCGAGGAATACTTATGGGGTCTACAAGAAACTCTCCCACAGTGCCGTTTGAAGGGGCACAACTAGCATTTTACAGAGACTATTCAAGACACACTATACAGTAGAGGAAGTCTTTTCATCAGGTTACACGACTACTACGGGATTAAGCCATCCCCTACAAGTGGGGCCCACGCAGACTACAGGCGGGCAAGGCTGGCGTGACGTACAAGCTATCACACACTTCTGAAATACTGGCATTCCTCAGATCATTGGGCATATCGGCGCAAACAGCACAAGAAACAGCTTGACCACCTTGGACTGTGGCAGATTTCACCCCCTTCGTGCCCAGAGGAGAGGACCCACAAGCTGCTGCCCTGCCTACCTGATACAGTTGCAGCCACGTAAGTTCCATGTATTTCTACCTGTTGTAGACAGCAGGAGCACTAATGGTTCCCTGGACTGTTAATCCCCCTTCCTAGATAACCTCCTCCCACTGGCTCCGTAAGCTACGGCTCGGATTATATGACCAAGTTAATTCTCTCCCCTTATTTTGAGTGCACAAAGCAGAGTTCGGCAAGTGAATACAGCCTTGTCACGCAATTATAGCACTAAGCCCTATGCCCATGTCTGTCAGGACCCACGCCAGATACCCACACATTTAGACATGCCTTAGGCCCAAGCCACATGTTCCATGCCACTACTAAGCCTATGGGCACTCACAGCACTAAACGAGCGCCACCAGCAGATCACCCTCCCAGATGTGCCATTCGTTAATGCCATACATAACATCACACTAACGAGCCTGAGGGCACCCACCACTATAGGAAAGGAGCCCCCAGCACATCACCGATCCCTCACATGAGAACAGGCGAGAGAGGGCTGTGAAAGCTATTAAAACTATAAAAATTAATAGTCCCTGCAACCTGTTGAATTACTGTGTCATTTGTACATTATAATGGTAAACGTGATATTGTAAACATCATGCGCTATCCACAAAAATAAAGAATTTAAAAAAAAAAGCAAGTAAATGTTCATTTCCCACACCTGTGATTTTTTTTTTTCTTTCTTGCAAATAGTGTCTGTGTATAGTCAGTGAGTTTGTTAGCTCTCATGTGGATGCACTGAGCAGGCTAGATACTGAGCCATGGGGAGTAGAAAAGAACTGTCAAAAGACCTGCGTAACAAGGTAATGGAACTTTATAAAGATGGAAAAGGATATAAAAAGAAATCCAAAGCCTTGAAAATGCCAGTCAGTACTGTTCAATCACTTAATCACTTATTAAGAAGTGGAAAATTCGGGGATCTCTTGATACCAAGCCAAAGCCAGATAGACCAAGAAAGATTTCAACCACAACTGCCAGAAGAATTGTTCGGAATACATAGAATAACCCACAGGTAACCTCAGGAGAAATACAGGCTGCTCTGGAAAAAGACGGTGTGGTTGTTTCAAGGAGCACAATGCGACGATACTTGAACAAAAATGAGCTAAACGGTCGAGTTGTCAGAAAATAAGTCTTTACTCCGTCAATGCCACAAAAAAGCCAGGTTACAATATGCCTGACAACACCTTGACACGCCTCCACAGCTTCTTGCACACTGTAATTTGGAATGACAAGACCAAAATAGAGCTTTATGATCATAACCATAAGCGCTATGTTTGGAGAGGGGTCAACAAGGCCTATAGTGAAAAGAACACCATCCCCACTGTGAAGTATGGTGATGGCTCACTGATGTTTTGGGGGTGTGTGAGCTTTAAAGGCACAGGGAATCTTGTAAAAATTGATGGCAAGATGAATGCAGCATGTTATAAAAAAAAAAAAAAATACTGGCAGACAATTTGCATTCTTCTGCACAAAGGCTGCTCATGGGACGGTCTTGGACTTAACAGCATGACAATGATCCAAGCACAAGGCCAATTTGACTCTCAAGTGGTTACAGCAGAAAAAAAGTGAAGGTTCTGGAGTGGCCATCACAGTCTCCTGACCTTAATATCATCGAGCCACTCTGGCAAGATCTCAAACATGCGGTTCATGTAAGACGTAGGGATCGACCGATTATCGGTCTGGCTGATATTTTCAGCAATATCGGTATTGGCCAATAAGGATACCAATATTGCTTATAATGCAGACCAGGGCCACCATCAGGTTCCTGGGGGACACAGCAGCTTTCTTCATCTCTCCTGTCTAATTCTCGCGTTGCCACGGGTTACCACAGGGGACAGGGGAGCTGAAGGGAAGGTAAGTAAGAGTGTGCTGGGCCCCCTCTGCACACTCCAGGCCACTGGACCACCAGGGAATGCCTTATTCCCCCCCTCCCTGGCTAGGTAAGAAGCAGGGAGGGGGACTAAAACACAAGTTACAAAAAATTAAAATGCCCTCCCCTCACCCATTTACACACTTAACATACCTACACAAACACACACACTCTGCATTCATTATATACACACACTACATCAAGCATGTCAAACTTGCGGGCCGCATGCAGCCCACAGGGACCATCTTTGCAGCCCGGTGAGCCGTGAGTACATGCTGGTGTTCTAGCAGAGTAGGCACCTGCTTTCCCCACATTGCAGTTGTCTACTCTGCTGACACTTACCCAGCCAGGGAGGAAGGGATGGTGAATGCAGCGAGGGAGCTCAGCCTTCCTGCTCCTCACTGCTCCCTCCGAGTGCCGTCTGTAGTGAAGCCGGGCGCCGGAATATGATGTCCTATTCCGGCACCCGGCATTACTAAACTGCGTGAGGGAGCAGTGAGTAGCAGAAAGGAGATCCCCCACTGAACCCCAGGGAGAGGCCCCACATCAGCTCCAAAAGGTAGGGAGCAATAAAGTAAAGTGTGTGTGTGTGTGTGTCAGTGTTGCATTGGCTGCGACTGGGCAGTGGAGTACCTGGAGGTGCAAGGAGGCACGCAACGCCATGTCACATTCCGACGTGATATCAACATGCTCCACCTGCACAGGGTTTCATGAAGTAGTGGGAGGATCAGATTTGGCACAGGCTGCGGACGGCGCCATTTGGGGTATACCAGAGGCCAGACTTACATACTGGCAGCGGCAATGTGATTGGAGTCTACAGGGGGGTGCTGGGATTTAGTATATGGGAGAGGACTGGGCTTTAGTGTATGGGGGGAGCACTGGGATTTAGTATATGGGGGTGCTGTGGTTTAGTAGAGGGGGATGCTGGGGGGTTTTAATACTGTAATTTTCAAAATAAACCTACTTTTTATGAAAACTTAAGGTTTTGTTTTTTTTTGAGGCCCACATAAACTTAAACCTTGTTTACGTGGTAGACTTTGAGTTTGACATACACACACTACACAAACACACACACTCTGCATTCACTATACAAACACACAGATACTGCATTCACTAATCAAATACTCTCACTGCATCCACTAAACGCACATATATTCTTGAAAACATAAAAAAATTCTGACTGGCATGTATATTTTGTGCATTTATCTTAATAAAAAAAATTTTTTGCAAAAAAAGAAATAATAAACATGTTCAGTTAACAGTAGATTTGTGTAGACATAGTTTATTTTTTTTTAAATGGTAAATGTACAAATTATCGGTATTGGTAAGTTATCGGCTATCTGCCTGGAAGTTCACAGATTACAAGTATCGGCTCTAACAAAATCAATATCGGTTGAACCCTCGTAAGATGACCAAAGACTTTGCATGACCTGGAGGCATTTTTCCAAGACCAATAGGCAGCTATACCACCTGCAAGAATTAGGGGCCTCATAGACTACTATTACAAAAGACTGCACGCTGTCATTGATACACAGTATTAAGAACTAAGGGTATGCAGACTTTAAAACAGGGGTCATTTCATTTTTTTCTTTGTTGCCATGTTTTGTTTTATGATTGTGCCATTTTTATAACCTACAGTTGAATATGAATTCCATAAGAAATAAAAGAAATGTGTTTTGCCTGCACACTTATGTTTTTTTTTTTTTTTAAATGGTACATATATCACCAATTCACCAAGGTTAGGCAAACTTTTGAGCACAACTGTACTGACGTGTTGCACTAATTCTGTTGCAACGCACATATGGGAGTTAATTGGATGTATAAAAAACATCTGACTAAAAGTGTAAAGAATTTTATTACGTTTTACTAGCCTGCAATGCAAACTGTCAGTTGATATTTAGTAACCCTAAAGGACCTTATTTAATAACTTTTTTTCTTCATTGTTACTGTAGATACAATGCTTTTATAAAGGATTAGCTGGAGATCTATCTTGGATTATTTATTATAGATTAAGATCACAAAAGATTATATTGCACAAGTCTTTGTTATGTGTCGTATCCTCTTCCCTTTCATAGAATAATTTACGGGATACCTGAATCCCGGTTTGTATAATGATCTTACTCAGTTTACATACGGCTGTTAACACTCGGAATACGTTTCACCTTTTTATCGAAGTAAAGACTTATTGAAAAACATTCTGTGATAATATCACTCGTTACAGACGTAAACTAGACCTCTCTCAAGCATTCCGAGGTGCTTGTACAGGAGACTGTTCAATGTACAAACCATTTCATGTATATTAAATGAATCTATTGTGTCCTCAAAGGTCAGGGAATATGTGCAATTTCTCATACAGGTAACTGTTAAAATCTGCCTGGGTATAACAAAGCCTGCAAAACGCATTGTGTAAAAAACACTTTAATGACAGGTGATGGCTATTGAGACTGTAGAAATGTATTGCTTTTTTTTTCTATTTTTGAATTTTCGAATTTCAAGTTATTTCTGAACGCAGTGTAATGTATACATTTATATGAAGAAACCATAATGATATGTGTATTATGGATAATACGTTGCATAAACTTTTTTTTTTGTGTGTGTGTGTGTCACGGTGTGTATCTGTGTGTCAATGTGTATCTGTATGTATGTATCTTTCTGTGTGTGTATCTGTGTTTGTATGTGCCGGTGTGTGTCTGTGTATCATGGTGTGTGTATTTGTGTATATATACACGTTGACACATACACACACCTTGACACACAGATGCACATACACACACAGATTCACACACATTGGGAGATGCGCGCGCACACACACATGTTTAAATTTGTTGTTCACTTACCTTTTTTCTGCAGGAGGATCCTCAATGCTGCTGGCTGAAGTTGGCAGCTGCTCACTCCCCACTGCTCCCTCTCCCTCCAGCCGGCTTGTTCTGTCTGGGAGGAAGTGCTGTCCCTTCCTCCCAGCATCCAATCTTACAGTGGTCCGGTCGCGGATTTAGCTGACCGCGGCGCCTGACCGGACCCCTGTTTAGCGATACCAACTGTGTGGCCCAAATGCTTGGGCCACCCAACGGGCAAATCGCCGTGGACCAATTTTGTTCTAGGTGAATGAGATCAGAGTAATCTGTCCCAGTACTATCATAGAAGATGGGTCAATAAAATCCTTTATTAGTAACGCTAAAACAACACACACACACAAATGCTTGTTCACTTATCACAACCGCCACTACTATAGTTTATTGTGGCAGTGTGTAAGACAAAATCTAAATACACTGAGGGAAGTGAAAAAATAATAAATAAATAAACTGACAAGAGTTGGGCAGAAACCCAGTCCGGGGTTAAACAGGTGTACCCTCGAAGTAGTGTCTGTTCAGTGCACGCAACACTGTATCAATTGGCAGGCTAGATTACTAGATCATAATTTATTCGCAAGAGTTGTAGCAAATATGTTATTGTCCTCAAAGTATCATCAGCACAGTTTAAACAAAAAAGTGCTGTATGATACTACGTACTGTATCAAGAGTGTATAGAGATTACTAGTAAGATAGCACAGATATAGTAATTGACAATGGGTGAGAACAGCTATCTAGGTTACTGCCCAAAAACCAGTAAAATACCATGCTCCGATAAAGTCAATAGAGACCGAGATGCATATAAATCTCCAACTGTATCTCAGTCTATGGGTTTATTGTGAAGGTTAGCTGACACATCTAGGGAAATAGAACACGTACTCTCTGCTCCTAGTACCTAGAAAGACCGAGCTATATTGGTGTAGCCATATAAGATCCCTAGTCTGTGCCTTCGAGGGCACCTGTCTCTAGTTAATCGGGTAAACTCGATAGACGGTCAGCGTAACAATATAATCACAGTGATAAGAATCACAACTGCGCCAATCTGTGCCTTCATAGGCACCGAACTATGACTAATCAATAGAGCTGAACTGGAAGACTGATCTAATAGGATTAATCTAATTAAATGGTCAGTGGAAAGGTCCTAAGTATCGCAATTAGATTAAGCGTATTCATGCAAGGTTGCAAAGAGTATCAGCAATTCTACCAAATAGGACCAAAGTCAAGAGCCCCGACGCGCGTTTTGACGAACAAAGGCTCATCTCCCTGATGAACCTTTGCAGTTTTAGAGAAACCACAATAATAATTACATTGCAGGACTAATTAGATTAGACTGCCGCTAGAGGCACTTCCTGCTTGTTTTGTGACTTTTGGTCGCCTAACTGAAGCTGGATGTCATCACGGTCTGCATGAGAATGTCCAGCATCAGAGAAAACCCCATAGGAAAGCATTGCAGCAATGTTCCATAGTTACATAGCTGAAAAGAGACTTGCGTCCATCAAGTTCAGCCTTCCTCATATGTTTTTGCTGTTGATCCAAAAGAAGGCAAAAAAAACAGTCTGAAGCGCTTCCAATTTTGCAACAAACTAGGAAAAAATTCATTCTTGACCCCAAAATAGCAGTCAGATGTCTCCTTGGATCAAGCAGCTATTACCCCACTAATTAGAAATTATATCCCTGTATGTTATGTTTTTGCAAGTATTTATCCAATTGCAGTTTAAACATCTGTATAGACTCTGACAAAACCACCTCTTCAGGCAAATAATTCCACATCCTTATTGCTCTTACTGTAAAAAAATCTCCTTTCTTCCAGCCTAAATGTGTGACCTCGTGTCCTATGTATAGCCCGATTTATGAATAGATTTCCAGATAATGGTTTGTACTGGCCCCGAATATATTTGTATAATGTTATCATATCCCCCTCTCAGATGCCGTTTTTCCAAAACTAAAGAGATTTACATTTTTTTAACCTTTCTTCATAACTAAAATGCTCCATTCCTTTTATCAATTTTGTAGCTCGTCTCTGCACTTTTTCTAGTGCCATGATATCCTTCTTTAGAATAGTTGCCCAAAAAACAGCATATTCAAGGTGAGGTCTTACCAGCGATTTATAAAGAGGCAAAATTATATTTTCATTTCGAGAATTTATGCCCTTATTTATACATGACAAAACCTTACTGGCCTTAGCAACGGCAGATTGACATTGCATATTGCTGCCTAATTTGTTGTCTATAACAATTCCCAAATCCTTCTCGTGTGTGGTTATCCCTAATTCACTACCATTTAGGGTGTAAATTGCTTGTGCATTCTTAACCCTGAAGTGCATAACTTTGCATTTCTCTACGTTAAATTTCATCTGCCATTTTAGTGCCCAGTCCCCAGATCTATCCAAATCCCTCGGCAGCAAGGCAATATCCTGCTCACATTTTATTACTTTACAAAGTTTTGTGTCATCTACAAACACATGGCTTTCAATGCCCATTTCAAGATCATTTATCAATATGTTAAATAGAAGCGGTCCCAAAACAGAACCCTGAGGGACACCACTTACCACTTTTGTCCAGCTTGAAAATTTACCATTAATGACAACTCGTTGTACTCTATCCTTAAGCCAAGAATATTCATCTAGACCAATTTCTTTTAGTTTGAAGACTAACCTTTTGTGAGGAACCGTATCAAATGCCTTGGCAAAGTCCAAGTAGATCACATCCACTGCAACACCCTGATCTATACTTCTACTTACTTCTTCGTAGAATGCAATTGGGTTAGTTTGACACGACCTATGTTTCATAAAACCATGCTGATTATTGCTAATAACACAGTTCTTCCGAATGAATTCCTGAATATTATCCCTTAATAGCCGTTCAAATAATTTCCCAGTCACAGAAGTTAAGCTCACAGGTCTATAATTTCCAGGCAAAGTATAATTTCCAGGCAAAGATTTTGAACCCTTTTGAACAACATCTGCCTTCCTCCAATCGTCCGGTACAATACCTGAAACAAAAGAATCTTGAAAAATTAAATACAGAGGTTCACTTATTTCCCCACTTAGCTCCTTAATAGAGATGTCGCGAACTGTCCGCCGGCGAACAATAGCGTGTTCGCGTTGGGCGAACATATGCGATTTCCGGTCTGCCCCCTATTCGTCATCATTGAGTACACTTTGACCCGGAACCTCAATCAGCAGACACATTCCCAGGAAGTGAACAGTTCGGCGAGCAGTTCGCAACATCTCTACTCCTTAAGTACTCGTGGGTGAATACTGTCAGACTCCGGAGCTTTATTTACATTAATTTTCTTTAATAGCTGTAGCACCTTGTCTCGAGTTATCCAATCACAAGTTATTTGCAAGTTTGTTGCAGCAATCATTTGCTTATCTCTTGCCATATGATCCTCATTAATATATACTGAAGAAAAATAGTTATTTAAAATTTCTGCCTTTTCCTGGTCTTCATTAACTAATAGACCCATCTCTTTTTTTCAGTGTAATGCTTTCTTATGTGGATGGCCTAATGCGCTTGCCATGCATGCGCATTAGCCCACCTCATGAAACATAATGGGGTCTAATAGCAAACAACAAATCATGGTTACTTCAGAACTGTCATGCAAAATTAAGGAAAAAATTGCCAACTTATCTGAAATACATTTTATCTAACTTGGCTGGTTTGGCCTAACGTTTGCTAGTTGGTTCGCAAGTTTCCTCAGTTCGCAGGTTAGTGAAAAAAAAAAATGTTTAAAAAAAAAAAAGTGTCCACTGAACAACATGATTTGTGATGAGTGTAACATTGTTTCTGATTAGTGAAACCAGGCCACTGAAGAAATCTCTATATGTTTCTTTTGGCAGGGTGGAGTGGTTTTTGTGCATTGTAATGCAGGAGTATCCCGTGCACCAGCCATCGTTATTGGTTTTCTAATGCACTACGACAGACTTAATTTTGCCAGAGCCTTTTCAGTTGTGAAAAATGCAAGACCTGCTATTTGTCCAAACCTGGGTTTCATCGAACAGCTCCACAAGTACCAAGAGTTCATTAGGCGACAAGATGTGCACGAGAAGACAGACTGACCGGAAGCGTAACTTTCTTTATATTTATATTTGATTCTCATTAATACTCACCCTTTCTTCTGTAACAGAATACATGTCTTGCGTTTGGGGGGAATGGAAATGTTTCGTTTTCATGTTTTAATTAAAAATTGTTTTTGTTCACTGCAAAGTGTTGGTTTATAATGAGGCACAGCTGAAGAATTGCAAGAGTACAAATCTATATTATTAAAGTCTTTTTTAGAATGGTGCTTATTCAGCTGGAAATTTAAGCATAGATTTTGACTGTTTTGTGATTAAAAGTCTTACTCTAATTATGTCTCCTTTTTTCAAATTCTGTAATTTTTAATTTAGGTTAAAATATATTACAATTTCAAATTTTTATTTAAGTTCCACCAAAGAAACGTTTTTGTTTTTTTTTGACTATGTGTATATTATTTTTGGTAAATTAAATTAGTTATTTTCGTTAAATTAAAATAGTTATGTGTCAAGGTGTATTATCCTGTAGAAATGACATAAACATTCTTGAATACAGCTGCCACTGACCAGTTTGGAATGTTTAATCCACATTAGCCGTACGTTTTGAGTTGTCTCTATCTATAAGCCTCTCTGTGTTTGTGCCTATGTCTCTCTGCTTACAAAAAAAGGTTTCCCTGGAGAACATATCTTTGGGTATCACATCCCTCAGTAATAATGGACAAGGAAAAAAAAAAGATAATCTCCTGATGGATGTAGATGTTTATCACAACGATACATGTAGTTAGGTACCAAAAAGACTGTGGTGAGACCAGATGTGATAAAACTCTATATACAGTGCAAATGCAAAAATTGCTGTAATGCATCACCTGCATATTTCAACTTTAAAAAGGCCTCCTTGGGCACAGAATCTCTTATGTTTACTATCCCAAAGTTCCCAGCTTGACATATGAATGAGCACAGACAGACATTGTGCTTTGGACTTCATACTGCATTTCTGCAGATACCCTTGGCAATGGACACAGTTTTAAACACAGCTTTTTTTAAAAAAAATTTTTTTTATTGGATTATAACCCATGCGTGGGTTAAAAGAAGGGGAAAAAAGCTGTGACCAGAAACCAGCCGTGGACTGCATTTTCGACCTTGTGGGTTTCATTAACCTGACCATATCCTACAAATCAGAATCTCAGAGTATTCGTGTCTCCCCCAGAGCACGGATCTTGCATACTATGCAAAGAACTACATGGTTCCCCCTCCCCATATTTATGTTGTGGGTCAGGACAGTGACGTGAGTGAATTTGAATTACTGGAGACACATGGCTTGGGTAGGAGCCAGAAAGTAGCAATGACAAGATAGTCTTGCGATCATTTCATAGAATATGACCTATACCAACAATTGCTAGAAATTGTTTTGTATTTGGGACAATGGGGCAGCCGCAGTTCATTGTGGGTTTCTTTGACGAATGTGTAAATAGTAATTATCGATAAAAATGTGTCTCCCAATTTGTTGGTATACTGTATATACTGTCCTACAGAGATCTCCCTACCCCTCTTCTCTGTCCTCCCATCTTTGTTCTTTCAGGGTTTTTTTTCCTGATTCTTTTGAAATAATCATCTTCTTTCTACTCTGCAGTAGAGCTGTATTTATATGCTTTTGAGTGTTTTTTTTTTTTTTTGGATCAGTTTGGTAACTGATGTATGCAATGGATAATTAGACTGTTGTGCTTTGGGTCACGGTGTACATTTTTATTTTATTCTACAGTTTGTTTAATATCTTACTAAAAATACCGCTTTTCTTTATCAATAAAATTTCTTTGATTTAAAACAAACACGTAATCACAAATTGCAATTAATTACATTGTAGGCCAGGTATTTTTCAACTTAAACCAAATGAAAGAAGTGTGTTGGCTCAGTACCCCTTGAAGTGCGAAGTTGTGTTACCGACACTCACCGACCGGGTTCCGTTCCTATGACCCAGTCGTAGAACGAATTGGTCAGTAAGTGAGGAGTTAAGGGATTCCCTGCTCTGGTACGCATGTTTATGTTCAGGGCAATTTTCCCGAACATAGACAAACGCACAAGAGCAGGGAATCCCTCTAATTTCTACAATGGCTCGCACTTACCACCCCGCAAGAGAGCTGTTTGTAAGTGCGAGCCACCTGTACTATAATTGGGCCGCTTTTTCAAAGTGTTGGAGTCCCCCAGGTACCACAACTCTTCTGATAAATAATAAGATTACAAGTTATTTTATTTTTAATATAGCGCCAGAAAATTCCGTAGCGCTGTACAGTGGGGTATATAGCCTTAAGATGTTTAATTGTATGAAGGGGAAAAAAAAATAAAAAATATATATATATATATAATGCATGCAAGTTATAAATAAATAGAACAATATTGTGTATTTACTAAACAGTGAATTTTGTCAAATTTGTAAATGTAGCCAACAATATGTCTATTTTGTCTTATGTTTTTCATTTTTAATGTCCCGAATCTCACTTTTTAGTAAATAATTAATTTTGTTTTGATTACTATTTTCCTTTTACATTTTTCCTAAATACGTATTACCTTCTGGTCCTAGGAGAACATTATTTTTATTATGGAAACTATGCTTGCGTTCCACACTAGTCTAACAGAATTGCTGGGCATGTTCTGTCCCAAACCCTTGTGAGTCCAATTCATGTCTCTTGTGTATTCATTCTCCAACAAATAGAAAAACATTGTAATCGTCGCCCGGGGACTTACACCTGTGCACACCACATCGGGGACCAGTGGGAGAATGGCTTCTAAATGATCCAGCTGCGTAGAGTGAATAGGGATTGTTTAATTCTCCTTGCAGGTGGACAACATTTAAAAAATAATAAATAAAGCAACAATTCAGCACATTATTTCTGTGGATTTTGGAAGAATAAAATCGGATTATATATCTATATGCAGAGAGGAGGAGGGGGTAGTTTTGAGAGGAAGCCAAATATACTGTATTTTGTGTACAGAGATATTTTCACAGCAGGAATCCACAAAACTGTATGTTAATCTGTATTTTTTATTTTATTTCTCTCGTACACCGCGGTGCATGACCTGAACATGTGTTGTAGCCGTAAGGAAAAATGCAGATATGTTTCAAGTGAGCTTCTAGATCATTTCTTAATCAGCTTTTTAAATCGGAGTCCATGAAGACAGAGGTAACAAGAGAATTGCAATTTTTAGGCTAAAACAGGCAAACTGGAAACATTCTCCAAATATGTCCGACTCAGGTGGGATATTTAAACTGTTGGTGTTAAAATGCAGTACAATACATTTTATAATACAATTTGTTTTATTCTGCTAAGCAGTTACTTTTTGTTTTTACTATGGCATTTAGCTATCAAACGGATATTAAGCTCATTAGTTGATGGGTGCTAAAATGCACTTTAAAAATTAATTCCATATTTATTACCTTGTAATTAGCTGTGGCCCAGTATATCTCTGCACTTAAATTGGACACCTTGGTGCAGTCTGTGTGCAGCAAGGAGACAAGGAGAGATTGTCAAGATCTACAAGGTAAGTATCTATTAGTTTTGGAGAAAGGCGAGTGGGATATGAAATAGTTTGGATGTGGGGTAAGGAGAATTCACTGCCTTTATTGCAGAATAAGGGATTTATTCTCTAGACAAAAAATGTGAGTACATTCAAATGTGACTTTAGAGCTTCAGCTTGGATACTATCTCACTGACTTACCATCACCACTTCATGAATTTAGGTGTTGGTACAAGAGCTGAGAGTATGTAATGGCACAAGATGAGCAAAAATCAGCTTGAGATCTGAGCGGGGACCCACCGCAGGGCAGGCTATTTCAGCTGCTGCCCGTTCTCAGTATACTCTTGCAACCCATTTTTTTGCTCTCCACAAGTTTAAAGGGATAATCCAGATGTGGACCCCTTGCTCATGGTGCCCAGGGAGATATCAGCTATGCCTCAATGATGATGCCTAACAAGGCTGAAACGATCGTCTGGGGTTGCTGTATCTCTCGTGCAGAGAGAACTTGCTGGCATTTTGCATCTGGACTGCCCGTATGGGTGGGACCAGTCTGATATGTTTCAGAGATGTTCTCTATGTAATGGCACAAGATGAGCAAAAACCAGCTTGAGATCTGAACGGGGACCCACCGAAGGGCAGGCTATTTCAGCTGCTGCCCGTTCTCAGTATACTCTTGCAACCCATTTTTTTGCTCTCCAAGAGCTGAGAGTAGTTTAATGTATTCAGTTGGATGTTTTGTTTTATTTTTTTCCTTCACTGATAAGGGAGTAAAATTTGTGGGTGTGTTTATCCTGTTTAGGGCTCAGTGGTGGTAATGTAATAAAACTTAAAATAGTTTCAGAGTTGGCTGACCTTTTTTTTTTTTCCTTTTCTTTCCTAGAGGTGATGAGCGCGGTAACTGGTATGCTGTCATCACTTATGCATGTAATTTAATCTTCCTCCGCCCCCTCATCATGTTTTGTGAAACTCATTTGTTGCTGGACATCTCATTAGTAAGAGTGTCTGACAATAACACCGTGACACAAAGATCAGATGCGCTTTTCTTATTTGACATCATTGGTTGGTGGATAGCAAAGCACCTGGTACCAATCATTGCATGTACACGGGTATTAAGACTGAGGAATAGCCTCACATAGCCTGTCCTGGTTTCCACAAGCTCTCAATGCCCTCCATGGCTTGTCAGTTTGTAATGGCAGTCTCTGTATCTGGTAAACACTATAATTGCCATAAACCAGGCTATTGCTGGCAGCCGCACAAAGCAAATCACCGTGAAAACCGGCCTTGTCATTGCAGTGATTGTCTCAAACAGAGATTACTCAGACTAATGATAATTAGGGTTAACTTGAGTTACAACTAGTTAGGGTTAGGGCTTTGGTAGTATTAGTGTTAGCAAGGGTTAGAATTAGTATTAAAGGACCACTAAATTCACCCAGGCTACCTAGCCCCAACCCCTGAGCGGTGGGTGAGGGCCCTAAAAACCAATAAGGGGGGAACCTACTGTCCACCCCCCCCTGGCTCCCACCCCTGAGCAGTGGGTGGGGGCCCTAAAAACATAGGCTGCTCACTGTTTACTAGACATGCCCCTACTCACAGTATAGCGAGTAGGGGCAGACTTTAGTAATACTAAGTAATCTTTACTTAGTATTAGTAAATTTGGCTGAAAGACCAATTAAGGTCTTTCAGCATTTTAGTAGATAACTCTCTGATACCGTGGGAATTAGGGAGTTATCTACTAAGCGGCTGCAAGATGCAGCTACAGCAGGAATAGGATCGGAGTTTCATTCATTCGAATGAAATTGAGATCCGAACAAAGTCCCGAATTGCATCCTAACACGAATGGAGAAACTGTTCTCATTCTGTTAGGATGCAATTTGGCAGTTTTGTCTGCGTTCTGTCTAAGTGACAGGATGTTCGGCAATACTGCCAGGAAGCATGTGGGAACAGGGAGGAAAGCTAAGGATCATGGGAAAATTGCTCTGACCAGCGGAAATGAAGCACACTTTGCTCCCCCGCTGGTCAAAGCTGGTCAAGCGGAGGAAACCTCCATAAGGCAAAGAGTCCCTACTTTGTCTTATGATTTTAAAGAAAACGAAAGAAGACCGAAAGAAAAGAAGAACAGATCCTAAAGAGGGGGAGAAGAGGAAGAGATTGAGGAAAGGTAAGTTCGGCATGACAGTGCGGCTTTAATATGAGAAACATTGGATGTGTGAGCAGCGCATGTCGCACATTTGCATCAGGTAGCCATCATGGAGGGGACCATGTCTTCTCTATGACGTTGTGTGAGGCGGAGAGGTGAGCAACTCCAAGAGAGTCTCCGCTCTTGAAAAAGGTGAGCAAACTATTATAACACTAACACTATACATTGTTAACAATACATGTTTGTATTCCTAACTTTACAGTGTTGCATTAAAGGTTAATGCTAATCAGTATGGTGAATCAGATAGTGTCACTTCACCAAATGGAGCCTTTGGGAAGCAAGCTAAGATGCATGTCTGGAATTTGACCATAGACCTTTTCTAAGAAAATGTAAGCAAAAGGATCTTCGACGGTGCTGCAGCAGCCCAGTATCTCAAATAAGCAGAATAATACATAGCCACAAGTCCAGGTGCTCAGACTATGTAGTCTTCCACACTGCTCCAATCAAGGCACAGGTTAACAACATGAAAGATTGCTGGCACAAGCTTCAAGACAATGGGTGAGCAACTGAGCCTCAGCAAGCGTCTCCACACTCTGCATGGAGACACTGAACTTTCCCCATAGAAATGCATTGAGTCAATGTATCTCTATGAGGAAATGCTGACTGGCACTGAGCTGCATTTTGCCTTTTTCAGGGAAAGACCAGGAGGGCCGGTGGACTAAATGATGTTGAACACCTATCATGTCAGGAATAAACATTTGTATTTCTGACACTGTAGTGGTCATTTAAAGATGTTTTATACCATGCTCTGTGTTGTTTAGTGATGCTTAGTGAAGATTAAAAAATACATTCAAAATTTTTTTTTTTACAAATACATCAGAAATTGGTATTTTTAATTCTTGTTTTCTCTTTTAGAACGATGGTAACACATGCCAAATCATAATTTGTTTTTTCTAGTTCCATAATATCTTTAAGTATTGTGCAGTAGTCGGTTTATCTTTCCTGGGAAATGTAATTTTAACCCTCGGTAAACTAAATGTCTTATAAAATTCTTATAAAATTCCCCCAACATTCATTCCATCTTCATATGCATGCTATATTTTAAATTATGTAAGATTACATTCGTCTTCCTTTAAACTACTATCAGATACAGCCTTCTAAAAAATGATATTTAATATGTATGGGTGCACTTAACAAGAAAGTGTTGAATTATGGTGAAACAAACGGATAGCAAAAGTACAAAAACGGCCTTGGTCACGAATGCATAAAATCTTGGAAAATCTTTGGTAATGGAAGGTTAAGCTTGCTCTTGACTGCATTTCTCCAAGATCCTATCTAAGTTTAAACAGGTGATGATAGATAAACTTTGGAAGTACATATACTGAAAGAAAGTAGAATCTGCTGTACCATAGTGTTTATTGGCCTTGGCAGAGTATTGATGATGTGTTTTCTCAGCTCTGCAACCATATTAATATAATAGAGAACAATACGTATAGTGTAATTATATGACAAAGCAACTTTATCCAAAAAAAAAAAATGCATTTACACTTTTAATAGCACTTTTAAAGTAAAGTGCATGAAAAATTTAAAACGGCATCCCCAGTGCACATAGATTTACTGGTGGTATGATTTCTTCCTCAGGGCCAGCGCTACCATAAGGCGAATAAGGCATTCGCCTGGGGCGGCGATCACCAGGGGAACACTGCATGAGCGGCTCCTTAGCCACCCCCCCCCCCCCAGCTGCTGGGCTCCTCTCCGCCAATTACCTGCTCAGGGAGCGGAGTTTACTGTAACCCCAGGACCCGAGCAGAGCACACTGGGAAGCTGGGATGTGACTTGGAAGCACTCTGAGAGGAACAGGAAGCAGTCTGTGCTCACAGTGCATGACACTCCTGCTCCCCCAGCAGAAAGAAGAACAACTTCCTGCAGCCTGGACCTCTTCTCCTCTTCACAGCACCCAGGTACACAGAGAGAAAGAGTATGGTGGTATAATGAGGTGCTATGAAATCAAAGTAAATGCAGTGCAGGTATAACCACCGTGAAACCAGCCACACAATTTCACAAGAAACAGAAAATAAAAACTGATACAACAAAGTGGAAAGCGCACTAGTTAACCTATCTATATATGTGTGATAGCACTCTTGTACACTGCTCAAAAAAATAAAGGGAACACTTAAACAACACAATGTAACTCCAAGTCAATCACACTTCTGTGAAATCAAACTGTCCACTTAGGAAGCAACACTGAGTGACAATCAATTTCACATGCTGTTGTGCAAATGGGATCGACAACAGGTGGAAATTATAGGCAATTAGCAAGACACCCCCAATAAAGGAGTGGTTCTGCAGGTGGTGACCACAGACCACTTCTCAGTTCCTATGCTTCCTGGCTGATGTTTTGGTCACTTTTGAATGCTGGCTGATGTTTTGGTCACTTTCTGGCGGTGCTTTCACTCTAGTGGCAGCATGAGACGGAGTCTACAACCCACACAAGTGGCTCAGGTCGTGCAGCTCATCCAGGATGGCACATCAATGCAAGCTGTGGCAAGAAGGTTTGCTGTGTCTGTCAGCGTAGTGTCCAGAGCATGGAGGTACTACCAGGAGACAGGCCAGTACATCAGGAGACATGCA